CCATCACCCCGGTTGCACAGTCTGCAATGCGGCGAACAGAGACGGAATAAGCGATTAGTTTTGTCTCGCGCGTGGAACATTCATTCGCACGCTATTTCGTAATGTTTACGCAAAAAAGAATAGAAAAGAAAAATGGCAGACAGAACTCTTCGTGATGATACCGCTGATCTTTCCTGCCGCGGCAACGTCTCTCCTTATTGTGGTTACCCGATCGCGGTCGCACGCACGTCTTCCTCGCACCCACGGCCCAAGCTTGACCAAATTGCTGCGGATCTTGCATCACGTGGCCACCTCGCGTGCTAAAGTCGTCTTTCGTGACGGAATTGAAGTTACCGCAGAGGCCGCACAGGTGACCCCTGTAAGACGAGGGTGCCGACACCTCGAGATAGCTAATACCGTCCCAGAGTACCTTGATCCCGATTTGCGTGTTCAAGATTATGCTGTCGTTTGTCCGGTTGATGTCTAGTCGGTTTGCGACGGCATAAGGAACGTCTACCTTCTTCCCGTTCACCTTCACCCTCATTTTCTGGCCAAGGTTCACTTTCAAGTCGCCAATCTGCAACACGATCGCGGTTGGAACGTTGAACGGAAGCTCCTTTTCCTTTTGGAATCCAGTTTGGGGATACCGCTCGTGTTCTGCTAGCGTAACGTGGCACGCGCGCGCGCGCGAGCAGACTTCGTGATTCGCCCCGGGACAGGCTTCGTTTCGCAATATGATTAATCGAGCTCGAAACGGTCAATTCGCAGCTTCGCTTACGTAGCAAGTAAAAGTCGCTATCTCCTCAAGAACCCTCGACTCTAAATACTGCCGCAATGATATCTGGCACGAAAAGCAGAGAACGCGCGCCTCGATGACTCGTTTGAATACTTCCTCGGTTCTCTCTCTCTCTCTCTCTCTCTCTCTCTCTCTCTCTCTCTCTCTCTCTCTCTCTTTCTCTCTCTCGACTCGATTTGATCTCGTTTCAGCCGAGAGACGCAATACTTTTATTGAGAAAAATGATGGAGAAAACCCGCACGCACACACAGAATTGATCGAAACCCACCTTGATGGCGACAGCTTTTGTCCACGCGGACGATTTAGTCCATTTGGCGTCGTTGGTCACGCGTATGCTGAAAGTACGACCCACGCAATCACCGACCAGCTGATACTTGCACGGCCCCTTGAAGCTGTAGTATTTACCATCGAAGGTGCGATAGTGCGGATCTCCGAAAACCGTGCAGACTCCGTCACCTAGAAGGGTCGATCGTATATTTGTCCACCTGTCGTGAGACGCGTCGCGCTACATGAGTTGTGGAGGGAGGGGGGTGGAGCACTTACTCTCGACGCATCGCGCACAACATTGATCCTTCGGACGCTCCAGCTTCGAGTTGGGCGGGCAAGGTTTGTTCATCGGCGGACACATGGACATTGCGCAGAGCACCTTGCCCTGCTTGCAGGCGCACGCCTTGCAGGCGTCAAGTTTCCAAGTTTCGCCATCCTGCCTAGGACAAAAAGGGATGTTTAAACCGGAATAGGACGGGATATCGAGGTCCGAGCCGAAGTCGCTGCGCGAGAAAGACGGATTCAGCTTCCGACGTTTGCTCGCTTGTAAAGCTTCAACACTTTCGCGCGTCGACCAATTTCTCATCTCTGCATCTTCGTTCTCCTCGTCTTCCTCTCTCTCTCTCTGCGTCTTCTCGCAGTCTCGCCCATGATGAGTCTTCAACAGCGACGTATTCCGCAGTTATTTAATACTCGTTTATCTCGATAATGTATATGTACTTAATCCTTATATTCTTAATTTAAAATGAGCAATTTTTGTTGATATTGATTATATATTTGCTTAACAGCGCAAGAAAGAGAACAAAGATAAAACGTAAATAGAACTGCTTTGTTAGAACTGCGCGTGAGATAAATATATAAGGATTAAATAATCATATAAGAATTAGAGGAAATGGGAGATGAAAAACACTTTTTATTCTCATCATTCTTAAAGTTCTTTTTTCTTTTTCTTCTCTTTTTTTTTTTTCTTTTTTCTAATGAGAATGATGAGAATTGTAGCTCTCAAAAGAGCTGAAGCTGCAAAAAGACAACGGTTATGTCTAATAATGCTGTTTCACTAATAGAGATTTTAATTCTGATTCGGTACAATAAGAAAGATAAACAAGAATGAAAACGGACATTCTAGCAGATTCTAAACGAAACAGCAATCTGAGCATTATTAGACGAATAAAAATCAACACTTGTAAAATTTATATCAGATTCTAAGATCATTATTCATAGTTTTTTAAATTATGTGCAATTTTTCATTGAGAACATAATTAAAATTTGTATTCATAAACCTTAGCTTGCCTCAGCAACCTTGCTTGAATAGACATTCATATTTATGAGAAAAGAAAAGTAGAACTCATGTTACGTGAAATTAGTTTAACGAATAATCAAATTTCAAGCTATTTTTCAGATGATAAACTATGAATGCTGATCTAATTTCGACTCGGGTATGTCCTTACTTCGAGTAAGGTCCGTTAAAATCAGAAAAATCTGCGTAATAATAATGACTCGAGGTACCTCGAATACCATATATGATGTATCGCTGTCCACGTCTCTCGGCGCGCTCCAAGTCTCTCTCCATCCTGACTTCTCGATCCGACGTCCTCCTTCTGGTTACTCCGTCGCAGCACCCCCGGATACTCCATCGTAGCACTGGCGACGACACTGACTCTAGCTCTAACACTCGCGCAAGTAAGATTCGGGGACAAAGAAACGCGTATTAACCGATACGACTCGACACTCGTACTCTGCGTCGCGGTATGCGCGTCGTTCGTCGGCCCGAGGCGCAATGTCCTTTCCGCAATCACGGAGTCATATATAAGCGTACGAAAACAAACAATCGGGAAGGCACGGTTACCCCCCACTTTGCCGATCAGTGTTGATGCCTGCGTCGTCCGTTAGCTGAAAATGAAAACAACTCGTATTTTCAAAGCATGCCTGTGAGAGATTCGCTTCAAACTTCGTAATACTTTACGTCTGTCCCAAGAATCATATTACGCCGAATTTAAACCGTCTCTATTGACATGCGAATTTTGTCTCGTTCTTATTAAATGTTAGATTATCCGCTGCGGGACAATAAGTCTTCTACTTTTCATCTAATATTCAATGATAATAAATAACATTTAATTGCATTCGTTTGACATTTTTTATTTCGAAAATAAAAAAATATATACCAGGGTGAGATTTCACCCATAACAACATCAACGTGATTTTCTTTGATGCTTTTTTTAAAAGTTCAAATATTTCGTCGACTCGCGGGATATTTATAATTGGAGTCTCGTCGCGTTAATTAACATGTGCTCCTCCGAGAGGATCGAATGCTCACCGACGGTCACTGTCAGTGCCACGAGCGAATGTCCGGAGCGGACGGGATGCCGAATTGAGAAGCAGGACGAAGGGAACGGGACGCGGGCAACGATACATCATGCGTCTCCAGACGTATCAAATCGATAATTATACAGGAGACTTTAATACGGCAGCATGTATGTAGAGGATTTAATATTTAATATGTACTTTTATTATCCCTGCTCACCCTCTACGCTCTTTTTAGACCTTCGGGCATAGTCTGGCATAGAGATAGTAACTATGGTTGCAGCACGGACATAAACCGCCTGAAAGTGGATGTAGCACGGACTTCCACCACATGCAGATTATACAACCAAGATTTGAAAGTGGATGTAGCATCGTAGTTCTCCTCTCAAAATGGATGCATATGGCGCCCATTTCCAGCTAAAAATCGCCGAAAACGCCGTGTTGCGGCCGCTCTCAGCTTCCTCTCTGGTTTCACTACGAAGATTAAAGTTTTCCAACATTTCTCCGTTGATATCTCCGCTTCTACTGGGAGTAGAGAGTCGTCCATGTAGTCGAAAATGTAGGGTTTTGAGAGGACTTTATTTTGGTGCCAGAGCCAGGACTGTATCTCTAACCGTTTAAGAGATATCGAAGATTAAAGTTTTCCAACCTTTCTCCGTTGATATCTCCGCTTCTACTGGGAGCAGAGAGTCGTCATTGTAGTCGAAAATGTAGGGTTTTGAGAGGACTTTATTTTGGTACTAGAGCCAGGACGGTATCTCTAACCGTTTAGGAGATATCGAAGATTAAAGTTTTCTAACATTATTCCGTTGATATCTCCGCTTCTACTGGGAGTAGAGAGTCGTCATTGAGTCGAAAATGTAAGGTTTTGAGAGGACTTTATTTTAGTGCCAGACCGAGGCCTGTATATCTAACTGTTTAGGAGATATCGAAGATTAAAGTTTTCCAACCTTTCTCCGTTGATATCTCCGCTTCTACTGGGAGCAGAGAGTCGTCATTGTAGTCGAAAATGTAAGGTTTTGAGAGGACTTTATTTTAGTGCCAGACCGAGGCCTATATATCTAACTGTTTAGGAGATATCGAAGATTAAAGTTTTCCAACCATTCTCCGTTGATATCTCCGCTTCTACTGGGAGTAGAGAGTAGTCCATGTAGTCGAAAATGTAGGGTTTCGAGAGGACTTTAATTTGGTGCTAGACCGAGGCCTGTATCTCTAACCGTTTAGGAGATATCGAAGATTAAAGTTTTCCAACCTTTCTACGTTGATACCTCCGCTTCTACTGGGAGTAGAGAGTCGTCCATGTAGTCGAAAATGTAGGGTTTCGAGAGAACTTTAATTTGGTGCCAGACCGAGGCCTGTATCTCTAACCTTTTAGGAGATATCGAAGGTTAAAGTTTTCCAGCCTTTCTCTATCGATATCCAGCCTTCATCCGTCGATATCTCCGCTTCTACTGGGAGTAGAGAGTCGTCCATGTAGTCCAAAATGTAGGGTTTTGAAAGGGCTTTAATTTGGTACCTGTCCGAAGCCTGTATCTCTAACCGTTTAGGAGATATCGAAGGTTAAAGTTTTCCAGCCTTTCTCCGTCGATATCCAGCCTTCATCCGTCGATATCTCCGCTTCTACTGGGAGTAGGAAGTCGTCCATGTAGTCCAAAATGTAGGGTTTTGAAAGGGCTTTAATTTGGTACCTGTCCGAAGCCTGTATCTCTAACCGTTTAGGAGATATCGAAGGTTAAAGTTTTCCAACCTTTCTCCGTCGATATCTCCACTTCTACTGGGAGTAGAGAGTCGTCCATGTAGTCCAAAATGTAGGGTTTTGAAAGGGCTTTAATTTGGTACCTGTCCGAAGCCTGTATCTCTAACTGTTTAGGAGATATCGAAGGTTAAAGTTTTCCAACTTTTTCCGTCGATATCCAGCCTTCATCCGTCGATATCTCCGCTTCTACTGGGAGTAGAGAGTCGTCCATGTAGTCCAAAATGTAGGGTTTTGAAAGGGCTTTAATTTGGTACCTGTCCGAAGCCTGTATCTCTAACCGTTTAGGAGATATCGAAGGTTAAAGTTTTCCAACATTTCTCCGTCGATATCTCCGCTTCCACTGGGAGTAGAGAGTCGTCCATGTAGTCCAAAATGTAGGGTTTTGAAAGGGCTTTAATTTGGTACCTGTCCGAAGCCTGTATCTCTAACCGTTTAGGAGATATCGAAGGTTAAAGTTTTCCAACCTTTCTCCGTCGATATCTCCGCTTCTACTGGGAGTAGAGAGTCGTCCATGTAGTCCAAAATGTAGGGTTTTGAAAGGGCTTTAATTTGGTACCTGTCCGAAGCCTGTATCTCTAACCGTTTAGGAGATATCGAAGGTTAAACTTTTCCAACCTTTCTCTATCGATATCCAGCCTTCATCCGTCGATATCTCCGCTTCTACTGGGAGTAGGAAGTCGTCCATGTAGTGAAAAATGTAGGGTTTTGAAAGGGCTTTAATTTGGTACCAGTCCGAAGCCTGTATCTCTAACCGTTTAGGAGATATCGAAGGTTAAAGTTTTCCAACCTTTCTCCGTCGATTTCCAGCTTTCATCCGTCGATATCTCCGCTTCCACTGGGAGTAGAGAGTAGTCCATGTAGTCCAAAATGTAGGGTTTTGAAAGGGCTTTAATTTGGTACCAGTCCGAAGCCTGTATCTCTAACCGTTTAGGAGATATCGAAGGTTAAAGTTTTCCAACCTTTCTCCGTCGATATCCAGCCTTCATCCGTCGATATCTCCGCTTCTACTGGGAGTAGAGAGTCGTCCATGTAGTCCAAAATGTAGGGTTTTGAAAGGGCTTTAATTTGGTACCAGTCCGAAGCCTGTATCTCTAACCGTTTAGGAGATATCGAAGGTTAAAGTTTTCCAACCTTTCTCCGTCGATATCTCCGCTTCCACTGGGAGTAGAGAGTCGTCCATGTAGTCCAAAATGTAGGGTTTTGAATGGGCTTTAATTTGGTACCTGTCCGAAGCCTGTATCTCTAACCGTTTAGGAGATATCGAAGGTTAAAGTTTTCCAGCCTTTCTCTATCGATATCCAGCCTTCATCCGTCGATATCTCCGCTTCTACTGGGAGTAGAGAGTCGTCCATGTAGTAAAAAATGTAGGGTTTTGAACGGGCTTTAATTTGGTACCAGTCCGAAGCCTGTATCTCTAACCGTTTAGGAGATATCGAAGGTTAAAGTTTTCCAACCTTTCTCCGTCGATATCCAGCCTTCATCCGTCGATATCTCCGCTTCTACTGGGAGTAGAGAGTCGTCCATGTAGT